TCAAGAACACTCTGCTCATGGTTCCTCAAGAAAACTCTGCTCATGGATACTCAAGAACACTCTTCTCATGGATCCTCAAGGACACTCTGCTCATGGATACTCAAGAACACTCTACTCATGGATCCTTAAGAACACACTGCTCATGGATACTCAAGAACACATCGCTGCATCAGTGCGAACAGCGCGCTTAAGACCTCTTCCGACTGATCCAGTTCTTTCAAGCTCGGCGATTAGGTTCCGAAACATGTTATCGATAGGTGATACTTTGACATTAAAATATTGCCGGCATTTTCTCTGAGTTTGATAAATTGATCTGTCACTGGAATACAAAAACTCACCGAGTTTTACTCGTTGTTAGACATCATACGTAGCCATTTTAATCTCCAAGGTATGCTCTTTAACCTGCAAAAATAAATAAATAAGATTGAAAACGAACATGTTATGTCCCTTCTTCTGTTTCCAGTGGCCACCCTATATATATATTTTTCATGCAATTTGTTCTAATGAGCTCTCCTTAGTATATTGGCCTTTTTCATTTCAGCCCCCACGCTTTTTAGTCAAATTTATCTTCCCACTTTAGGTGACCAGAGATGTCAATTCTCTGGTGGATGCGGAACGCCTTACGTATTTTGGGTGTCTCTTTTTTTCGTATTTCTTGATGTGTTTGAATGAGTGGTTCAACAAATGAGTGTTTTTATCGTAAATGTTCAGCATTGATTTCGTCTAATTACCTGATGTTTCTACTACAATTAAGGATTGTGCGAGGTCAGAGAAGTGTGTCGTGAGTCTTCTCACTAGGTTCCGAATCATGTTATCGCTAGGAGATACTCTGACATTAAAATTTTGCCGGTATTTTCTCTGAGTTTGAATAATTGAACTTTCATTGGAATAGAAAAACTCAATGAGTTTTACTCGTTACTGAACATCACACGTACCCATTTTAATTTCCAATGGATGCTCTTTAACCTGCAAAAACAGAAAATTAAAAAGTCCGGAAACGAACAAGTTATGACTTTTTCAAACCCTTCAGTTTTTTCAGTGGCCACACTGTACATATAAACGCTGGGTTTTCTTTTTCAAATATAAAAATAGTTCTTTCGATTCTCATAGGGTACCCTGCATTTGTAGCCTTCGACCTGTCTAAGAAAACCTTAGTAATTACTTACAAACGTCGGTTGTTTTTGTTTTTTTTACAGAAATAAAGAGTTCGATTCTCTTTGGGTCCTCCATGTTTGCGACGTACAAAGCAATGTAAATGTTAAATGCTTTGTTATAGTGCAGTGGTTACTACGATAGATTTATATATCATTACTACATTTAGATAACAAGTCTTTCCAGAAAGTGGGTAATAATGGCTCTTCACAACTTCCTAGTTTGTTACTCTTATTAGTCGCGTCCTGGGTATGACGTTAAACTACACCCGCGTCCTGAGTATGACGATAAACTACATCCGCGTCCTGGGTATGACGATAAACTACGTCCAACAGCAAGGAAGGCCTCAGATAGTGTTTTCAGAAGAATAATGTTGCCAGCTATACTTTTTTTGGAAAAAATAATGTTGCCAGCTATACGTTTTTTGGAAAAAGTAATGTTGCCAGGACAAAATAGGCATTTTAAATTCATATAAACTGGATTTGGCATTAAATAACCCACAGTGGTTGATATGCCATAAAACCCAAACAAACAATCAATCTTATTAGTCTTTTTTTTACTTATTTCTATCCGTCTGTTTCTGTTCTGCTATCCATTCACACAAACTCATTAAGTAGCTTACTCGCAGTTTTCCCCTGCTTCTCTTCTCTTCAGCATATCCTGTGTGTTTTAAAATCTCCAGGCTCTCTTTCCTTATTTCGAACTTTACTCCATCGCTTGCAGTTTCAATATCGTGCTGATGTTACATAAGCTTTGTTTTGACATTTGGTCCGAGACCGATAGTTAAGTTAACGTTGAAGAAAATTCCTATTAGAATGAAGCCCATATGCAATGAATGCTCTTTATTTGAATCCTTGTGCATAACGAACTTAAGATTAGGATCATGCCGCGGAAATCCATTTTAATCATTTCATCCCAATCAAGGCAATAAAGCCGCTAAGACTCAATGGAGTTAGCGAGAGAACATGAAAATTTAAAAAAAATATTAAGGATAGTGAACAATAATAGAAGAGAAATTAAGAAGACAGAAAAAAACGATTAACAGTTCATGTAAATTTTCGAAAATTAAAGTTGACAAGAAAGTAAGAAGCCATAGCGTTCCACAAGCGGGAAATGTGAAAGAAGAAACTATTAGCATAGAACTTACGGTTGCATTTAGCCATTTCAACTTTAACGTGATGGGACCTTGCCGCTTGGCCTCTGATCGAGAGATTTAGAGATTTTGAAGAACGTGAAACCACCTCTTAATTCCTGTTGTTTCCAGGTCCACCCTTCCCGGGTGGTAGCACCTGTTAGGGTCCCAGATATATGAAAATACTGAACTCCCTCCCAAAAAAAAACACTATGAATGTCTAAAAATATATTTTTACGGTAAAAAATCCCATCAGTACTTATTTATAGAAAAATTACCAATAGTATATTTTTATCGGCAGTTGAAGACGTACAATTCAACCAAACAACTCTTTCATGAGATTAATCCATATAATATCCTAATCCATTAATCCATATAATATCCTACAATTTCTTAAAGAAATCAAACTATATTCCAAAATATAGCAAAAACTACAACATAAAACACACCTTAATAAATTTCCACACAAACATGTATATGCACAAAACCTGAGTATTATCTACCATGAATTCAATTGTGAAAGCAGAATAACATATATCATATTTTTATTGCTTCAAAGCACCCAAGAAAATTCAGTTTTGGCATTAAATGACCCATAAAGAGTCAATACGCCGTTAAACAAACAAATAAAATAAAATCCATGCCGCCAGTCTAGCACTGCTTGTTACTTAGAAATTTATTTAATATTTTTCCTTAAAAGTTAATGTAATATTCTTCAATGTGAAGTTTATATTCATAAAAAGCAAATACAGGGTGCGATAGATAAATTGTCACCATTTTATATTTTTGATTTCGCGCATGCTCGTTGTTTGTTTTTTTTAATTTATTTTGTCGACTGCACCGTAGGATCAGTTGGGCACTGTCACTGAGAAAAAGAGCACCATGACGCAATTCACTCCGCCTGAAATTTGGAAACGGCATGCTGTACTGTTTGGAATTCGCTCCGGAAGCTCCAATACGAACATTTCAGAGTGTTTAAGTGTAAATCTGAGGACAGTGAAAAAGACTCAGAAAGAGTTAAATGAGTCTAATGGTGATCACGAAGGTACGGCAGCTCGGAAAACACATTCTGATCGTTCTAATAAGAAAAGAATTCAAGAATTTGTTGATGAGAGTCTCAGATTCAACACTGAGGCCTATGTCAAGTGCCTTGAGTAGATAGTTCTGCCCTGGGTCAAGAGACTGGCTGCTGGAAGACCTTATATCTGGCAACACGACTCTGCACCATGACACACAAGCAGGAGAAGCCAGTCATGACTGTCAGACAATTTTCGCGGCCACATCATCACTTATTTATAGCCATCAAACTCCCCTGACTACAATCCACTTGATTATTATGTGTGGTGCTCAGTTGAGCGAGGACCAGCAAAATTCCTTGTAACACTAAAGATGAACTGAAGGCAAGGATTATGGCAGCATTCACCAACTTAAAAAAGGAGAAGAGTTTCAGGAGATTCCGAAGTCGTCTGAAGGCTGTGGTTGGAGCCAATGGCGATTTTATTGAATAAATTTACTGTTTAGTATTTAAAGATATTTTTTGTGTGATTTTAGTAAATATATCTGTTAAAATGAAATGTCGGTCTTACTTTCTCTTTCTGCATCATTTAGACGACAATTTATCAATCGCACCCTGCATATCTGCTAAAATGACGTCAGTGTTATTTTCATTCTTGCCACATTTAGACGACAATTTATCACTCGCACCCGGCGTCATACTTATTATAAAACCCAGGGTGTGTGTGTGTGTGTGTGTGTTATATATATGGATCGGATTTCCTACATTTTTCAACCGATTTCAACAAAACTTCTCAGGACTACGTAAAATTACCTTGCGGTGGTTCTGACAGCGCCAAAAAATTGAAAAACATAATTGTTTTTTGCACGAAATCAATTTGAAAACACGATTAAGAGGCATCACTGTCGCCAGAATGAAAGGGGGACAACTCATATCAAGTTATACTTATTATAAAACCCAGGTTGTTTGTGTGTGTGTGTGTGTGTGTGTGTGTGTGTGTGTTTATATGAGATCGGATTTCCTACATTTTTTCAACCGATTTCAACAAAACTTCACTTTTTTTTTTGCAGGTAGTGTTCTTATTGTCTTGCACACTTTTTTTCTTTATTTTTACATTCAGAATGCTTTAAAAATTCTATTTACAAGACAATTGTTTATAATAATATTCTATTCAATCGGTACACTCATAACTATTGAAAACAATGTTTTTGTTTGAGTTTGGGTTTGACCAATTAGTAAAAAAAAAAACTAATTAAGACATGCGTAAACAATAATCTTTGTCAATTTTATTTTTCAGTCTTTATGATAGTTGATACTTGATCTATCTCTTACTGTTACATCCCCGGGCAACGCCGGGCTCTACTGCTAGTATCTGCTAAAATGAGATGACAGTGTTATTTTCATTCTTGCCACATTCAGGCGACAATTTATCCATCGCACCCTGTAGGTCTGTTAAAATGAGATGTCAGTGTTACTTTCTCTTTTTGCGGCATTTAGACGACAATTTATCCATCGCACTCTCTATTCTAATGTAAAATTTATACAAAACAAATGGAAACTTAGACTAACGCAGTTATGCTTCAATTAAAATATTCATAATTTTACTTGATTTTTTTTTTTTTTATAGTCTTTACTCTTCATCCCGTTCCACGTTTTCATCTTTTCTTTCTCTTTACTTTTCTGTTTCTAAAGCTTTACGTACACATCAGGTTGAAACACCGGCTCTCGTCCGATCCTCGAAGTTAAGCAACGTCGAGCCGGGTTTGTACCTAGATGGGTGACCGCTTGGTAATATCAAGTGCTCTAAGCTTGGTTGTGCCGGTGGTGTAATAGGTAACGGCTCGGAATTTGATATCGGAGAGCCGAGTTCGACTTCCAGTCGGTTTCGTTATATTCACACGCGTAAATACCCTTTCGAAAGGCATGAATCCACCATTTATCCTCCCAGCTATGGATTAATTAGTACGGCATTTTTATCTCCCCCAAAATATAATAAATTGGGTTTGACCAATTCTTAAAAAAAAAAAAAAAGAAAAAAATAATAATTAAGACATACGTGTCCGTCAACCTTAAACAATAATCTTTGTCAATTTTATTTTTCAGTCTTTATGATGGTCGATACTTGATCTATCTCTTACTGTTACATCCCCGGGCAACGCCGGGCTCTACTGCTAGTATCTGCTAAAATGAGATGACAGTATTATTTTCATTCTTTTCCAAAAATGTTACAATCTAAACATATGTTCTGGCTTTAAAATTAGGTACACCCATTAATACTTAAGGTTTAAAATGAATTTTTAAAAATAAAAAAATTTCTTGAAGCTTTCTTTTTAGCTTTCATTGAAAGTGATATGTCCCGGAAAAGGGATATATTTGATCGAAGTAGCTAAGTGGTTTAGGCTACTGTAACCGAGTAGTACAATCTAGCAGGTAGCAGTAATAGAACTGCTACTCGTCGTAGACGCAGTCAATAGGCGTAAATCAATGGGCGTCGTCATCCTTTACCTCTACATCAGCCTGTATTTATGGCTGACACCAGCCAATCATATTCCTGTGAGGGGGAACACAGGTGTATGCATCATCAGAAAGCTAAATAATTGAATGTGCCCCCTTTTTATATAATTTTTAAGTACTCAGTAATCTTTAAAATGTTGGAAAATATACTCCGGAATCTAATTTTGGGAATGATGATTTTAAAATTACTATCGTCATCGCTCTTTTTTTTTTCCTGATAATGTCGTGTATGGTCGACCATACTTTCAAAAATGGGCACATCATATAATATTTTATATACATAAAAAAATTATTTTAAAAATCTTGGTGCAAAAGGATTTGTATTAAGCTTAATTTTTTATCAGTAAATAAATTTACTTAAAGCAATATCACCCAAATGGATAAAAGTGATGCAAAATGTTAAAAGTTTTATATACTATAAATTATCATAATTAAGGTTTTAAAAAAATGAAAACAATTCTTGTAAAAATTCATTATTCATCGAAAAAATGTTTTTAAGACAATCGAGTCCTTGATAAATCTTATTTATAAAATCAATTAAAATCTTTTCTAATTAAATAATGCCATAGATTTATTGCATTTTTATTATTATTATTATTATTATTATTATTATTATTATTATTATTATTATTATTTTCTTTGATTTCTGGCGTTTACATTTTTTCCGTCCCGCCTAGGACCTAAGGTTAGAAATGGCATCATGACACTTTCCACTGACAGAAAAAAAATTACATAGATAAAGCCCTTCGTAAAGTGTGGGCTGTACTTGTCAGAACAATTTTTGTATCTCCTTGAGGCATGGACTTCCTGAACCCTTCAATTAGTCTACTGCAATCTTTTCCAACTACAACAGGGATTGTTGATGTTCCCATATGTCACATTTTCAAGATTTCTATTTCAAGGTCCTTGTATTTTGACAACTTTTTGAATATCTTCAAAGATACATTGCAGTCAGCAGGGACTGCCATATCAATAAGGAGGCACTTTTTTTGTTTGTGGTCTTTAATAACAATATCTGGCTGTTGGCTTTGATTGTTCTGTCAGTGCGTATTGTGTAGTCCCATAGAATTGTAACAGGTCCTATCTCCGTAACCGGGTCTGGGTGGTGTTCATACCAGTTTCTTTCATTTTCCTTCCCGTAGAAGTTGCAGATTTTCAAGTGCAGATATTGGCCCACACTGTCATGCCGGGTTTTATATTCAGTGGGTGGCAATATCGTGCAACCTGATACAAGATGATCAATTGTTTCTGGATATTTATCACAGAATCTGCATTTTGGGCTGACACAATATTTTAGTATATGTGCTTGATAATTCCTAGTTAGCAAGCATTGGTCCTGTGCAGTAAGGATAAATTATTATTATTATTATCATTATTATTTTACTATTCGGAGCAGATTTTCGGGAAATGACTAGTAGCTTGAAAAAAAAAATCATGATTTTTAATCTCCACGGAGTCCTCCATGAAAATTTAATTTCTCAAAATTTCATAAAATGATGTATTGGGGGGTGGGGGTAACATATGTAAAAAATATATATATATTTTTTACCAAGATTTTCAAAAAAAAAATTTAAATAATTTCATTCATTTGTGAATAAGTCATTAAAGTCATTAAAATCCGAAAATTATTTAATTTTTGCAAGAATTTACAAATCAATCAGTTTTTCACCGAAAAAAAACGCACACAAACATTAATCGTAAATATTAAATCGACCGATGACGAAAAAAAAACAAGATTTTTATTTTAACAAAAATTTAGAACGTGTTAGAAAGGATTAAAAAAATTAATAAAATAATTAAAAATCCTTTTTTTTTTTCTTAATAATAATAAGCATTCTGACGATAAAACTGTTGATAAACTATGCTCTTTTTCAGCGAAAATGTAGAAGTACCAAACTAAAATAACCGGCAACAGGTTGATAAGCCGTAAAAAATCTTTTTTTTTTCTTTCTGACTTTCTCTTTTTCTTTTCTTTCGTATTCATCTATTTTTCCTCCCTTTCCTTTCTTATTTCTCTTCCATTTTCTCTTTCATTTTCTTCATCTGCCTTTTTCTTCTTTTGCCTCCTTCTCCCAATTTTTATCTTTCCTCTTTCTTTCTTTTTCTCTTGTCGTCTTCTGTCTTCTCAGATTTTTCCTCTTTTGTTTCATTCTTTTTTTTTCTTTGTTTCTTTCTTTCTTTACTATTCCTTTTAAAAATCTGCGTTTGCCTTTTCCGTTCTTTAATTCTTCCTTTACCTCGATACAACCTTGATGCAAAATTCTGACCCCCACCGCAACGGAACAGCACAAGAGGGGGTGTTCACTATTTGCCCATAGCTGGGACTAACAGGTGATACCACCCTGGGAAGGGTGAACCTGGGAAGTGCAGCAATTAAGATATGGTCACATGTTCTTCAAAATCTCCAATCTCCAGATCAGAGGCCTAGCAGCAACGTCTCATCATTTTAGATTTGAAATGGTTAGATGCAACCGTAAGTTCTATGCTAAAAGATGGCGGTAATGTGTGTTTTGTTGAAGTCATATTTTGGAAAACAGTTTCAGTTAAGAAATTGTAGGATACTATATAGATTAATATCATGAAAGTTCTTTTATGTTGGTAGTTTGGTAGGTTTTTAAATGGATTTCGGTGAAGTCGCTACAATTTGTTAGTATGTGCGTATTGTTGGTAATTGTTTTTATATAAAAATGTATCGGTGGTATTTTTATCATAAACAATGTATTTTTATACTTTCATAATGTTTAGTTTTTGTTTGGTCGAGGGTTCACTATTTGCCCATAGCTGGAACCCTAACAGGTGCTACCACCCAGGGTCAGAGTGGACCGGGGAAGAATTGTAATTAAGAGGTGGTTTCCCGCTCCTTAAAACCTCTCGATCAGAGTCCTTGTCGACAGATGAGATGAAACCGAGAAGAAACGTAGAAATATCAGCTTGTATCGCGTTCTGCGTATGACGATGAATTACATCCTCGTCATGGGTAAGACGATAAACTGCATCCGCGTCCTGGGTATGACGATAAACTACGTCCGCGTCATGGGTAAGACGATAAACTGCATCCGCGTCCTGGATATGACGATAAACTACATCCTCGTCCGGGATATGACGATAAACTACATCCTCGTCCTGGGAATGACAATAAACTACGTCCGCGTCCTGGGTATGACGATAAACTAAATCCTCGTCCTGGGAATGACGATAAACTACGTCTGCGTCCTGGGTAAGACAATAAACTACGTCCACGTCCTGGGTATGACGATAAACTACATCCTCGTCCTGGGAATGACAATAAACTACATCCTCGTCCGGGATATGACGATAAACTACGTCCGCGTCCTGGGTATGACGATAAACTACGTCCTCGTCCTGGGAATGACGATAAACTACGTCCGCGTCCTGGATATGACGATAAACTACATCCTCGTCCTGGATATGACGATAAACTACATCCTCGTCCTGGATATGACGATAAACTACATCCAACAGCAAGGCCTCTGATCAGAAGTTTTTGACGAGCGTGGAACTACCTCTTAATTACTGATGTTCCCAGGTTCACCCTGACTCGAGGTGGTAGCACCTGTTACGGTCCCAGTTATGGGCAAATAGTTAACCCCCCAAACTGGGATCAAAACACTATGAAAGTGTAAAAATAGGTTTTAATACAAGCAATACATTTTTGTAAAAAATTATTACCATCAATACATTTTTGAAGAACAAAATATTACCAGCAATAAATTCTTGGAAAAAATATTGCCAGCAATACATTTTTTGAAAAAAAGATATTACCAGCAATACTTTTTTGGAAAGATATTAGCAGAAATAAAAATTTTCTCGCCATTAAAGACCAGATTGAGGTTGATATGCTGTAAAACAAAACAAACCATTAAAATCTTATCTATTAAAAATTGTGTGTGCTTGTGTGATACACATGCGTTAGTTCGTTGGTCGGTTGATTTTGTTTAGCGGCATATCAACATCTCTATGGGTTATCACCGAAGTTAAGCAACGTTGAACCTGGTCAGTACCTAGATGGGTGACCGCTTGGGAATACCAGGTCCTGTGCGTTTGGATGTGATGTAATGAATAATGGCTCAGAATTGTTAACCGGAGAGCCGGGTTCCAATTCTCGTTGGGTACTTTATATTCACCTACGTGAAAATATCTTTGGGAAAGAGTTAAATCCACCTCTTCTCCCACTAACTGTGGTTTAATTGGTGACGCTTTCGAGTGTGTCCTGCCAATCAGTGTATCCCATCACCATATTTGTATCTTACATTATCTAACGTAAGGGG